TATACATATCGAGGTATCCATTATTGGAAAGTAGCGTATGTAAAACAGGAAACATTAGGAAAATAAAATGTACTGCGACAAAGGACCCGTAAGAGAAAGAAACAACGAAGCAAGATGGACACGTCCCAATAAATCAATCGGGCTCTAAACAGAGATGGCATACAAGGAAAGAAAAAAAGGATGTGGCGGGGATGATCACGGCAGAGTAGCAGAACTAACAAAACGAACGACGACCTGGGCTACCGACATAGCAGAACAATTCGATAGCAACAAAGGCATGAAGAATCGAGTTCCCGACGTCTTCGATGCGTAGAGAGCTAGGAATTTCCGGTTTCTAGAACGTGTCTTTTTGGACAAACCGGCATCCTCATTGACCACGTAATATGCTTCAGCGCGCCATCAGGGCGATTCAGATCGATCCCGGTGTGTTCGGGCTGAAACGAGCTGAATAGTCAAGGGAAGAGAGCAGGCAATAATTTTCTTGGCTTTAGTTTTGTTGCAGCGTACCACTTCATTGCCAAAACGAAAGTCGCCCTCGACGCCTGCTGGGCCCGCCCGATGACCTGCTGCATTTTCTCTGGAGTGATTGAAGCGGGCCGTCGGAATGGAACTAGAAAGGTGTTGGTTTGTGCTTGGTTTTAGGCGGCTTACCGTCTTGCGCTCGACGCTCTTCGGCCGACTCGCTAGAAGTGGGCTCGATGCTGCTCGGTCGGACGGCTCGATTGTAGGGCTGTGCGCGAGGATGTTCTACAACGAATTTTGCTACTCAACAAAGGTTGATTTTGATAGTTTTATGATATCCTTCGAATTTGGCTTACCGATATACACGGTCGATTCTGTTGGAGAGCTGGCTTGGGTCGGCGCATTCTCCTCTACGTCGACGCGCAACCGCAGGTTTTGAGAGTGGCAAAGCCCGTGCGATTTTTGCTCGATTCCGTCGTGTTTTCCGGATGAGGTGGCTGGAAGGTTCCACTTTTTCCCTTTTCAGACGAACTTACAGATGTAATAGTAGCTGGCGCCCGGTTCGTAATGCGTCGCTCCGGGCATCGGGCCGATGGTGCGGAGCAATTTGCTTCTCACACTGCCCCGGGTACACCTGAAATTTGGGGGGTCGGGGTAAAGACTTATGTATTCGGGGGAAGGAATCCGAATTTCTCCTACATGTCCAGATTTCCTAGTCACATCGTAGCAAACTTTTAATAGCATTCTTCAGTAAAATTTTGGATATCGAAAATTTCAACGAACAGGGCCTCTGATTACCTGAGCTCTTCCTTGCTGGAGCTCGACAGCAGGCAGTTCATGTAGGACATCTCGTCGACTCGGTAAACGACGAGACTATGCTGAACGTCCGGTGGGCACACGAATTTGAAGCTCTCCGTGTAGCGGACGCGAATTGTGTGCGAGTCGAGGCCGAGTTTGGATGCGCCCGCGAATCTGGAATTTGCAAGGTTTTCCTCGGGTATTTCACTTCAGATTTTTCGATTTTAGCTGACCCCGATGTGCCAGTAGCCTGGGACGGATGTGTTTGTGGGGGTGTGAAAGAGAGTGTCGGCATTCCCTTTCGATGATCCGGGAATGGATGGCCGTGGAGGGACGCGCGGGGCAATTCCTTCCGGTCAGTGGCCACGTGGCGGATCGTCTTGCTCCCCGAAAGGAAAGGATCAACCCCAAACCGCTTCTTTGAGTCAAGGGAATGTGACGTGGTTTTCGGATGAGTAAGTAAAGGTTGCTTAAACGGGGGTGAAACAGCGTTTTGGGCTTTATCCTCGATTTTTGAAGTGGCGAACGCGTAGAGCCAAATTATAAAAAGGAATTTTAGCCCAGAAATTCTTGATTTATGACGATTTTTAACAAATTTTTTGGTTTGTAAAAATATAATTTTACTAATATATTTCGGGGTGAGATTAGATACCTTAGTAGTCGACGTGTGTTTCAAACAGAACAACGCAACGTTACAGGGAAAAGGCCGTTATAAAACTATATTTTTAGCTGCCGATTCCCCCCTGCACCGCTTTTTGCTAAAAGATGCGCGGACCAGCTGCCCCATCAAATATCCATTGCCCCGCTGTGAAAGAGGACACCAAAGTTTATAAAGGCAGCTGCGATTGGTCCCACCGTCGCCCGGGCCGGGCCTTCTGAATGGGTGCGCGAACAAAAAGGAACCCGGGGGCCCAACCCCGACCAATCGGGCAAACCGAGCTGCGTCAACAACCACAGACGGTCAATGCAAATCCGATTGTCTCTACTGTGTGCGGGGATAATGGTTGTCTAATTCATAAATCGCGGGGTATCGGGTGCGGGGATTTGTTTACGGTAACAGGAACCGGTTGGCTAAACAATGCGATTGAGTTTTGGATCAATAAATATGGAGTTGAAGGGGAAAGCCAAAATCCCGACTGCGAAAATCCCGACGTCCAAATTCCAACAGCCAGAATAGCGATATGCGAAAACGCAGGCTAAGATGAAGTGTTTCTCGCTAGCGTGAAAAATATGCCAGCATTTTGGCTGTTTGGCTTTGGCCGTCGGGATTTTGGTTGGCAGTTTTCTGCTCTTGTGATATTTGGATATGCCGGTATTTCAGCTACCGGTTTTATAGCTGGAATTCAACTTACAGGCTTGACAATGACCTTCAAGGCAAGGCGGGTAAATCAGGCATTTTAAAACGACACTAGTTACAAATTGTCCTACTTTTAATGTTGCCAAATTTTCGCATTTTCGGCAGTAATTTATCATCTTCCTGGTCCCTTTAACTTTGTACATTGTACTCCAGGTTTCCCCGCCTTGAAATGAGTGGCTCGTTGTGGATTCCGGGGTTCTCGGGCCTTCCTTCAGCTAATGAGGCGATTTGGATTGGTGTGGTGGTGGTGGGCATTTGAGGGGGGGGCGGCTGTGGTTAGGCATCGTGGGAAGTCGCTACTCAAGAGGGCTTCCTCCCAACTATCGGCCCGCAATGAGACCAATAAGTTTAGAGGGGGGAGACGCGCAGTGATTGGGGTATTTTGGCTTGACGGGCTTCAAAGTTGGCTGCGTAGCTTGGTTTAGGCACTTGCAGAGACTTAGCTTGGGCTTGGCTTACGCATAGATTTAAAGCTAGACATCGGCTTAGCTTAGGCTTAGTCTGGGCACAGCCCTAGGCTTACGCTGGGCTTTGGTTCATGTTTATGCTTATGCTTAGCCTTGGGCTTTGCTTAGGCCTGGGATTAGGCTTAGCCGAGGCTTCGTTACATAGCAACCCCAAACTTTACCCCGACAAACCGAAACTACTACTTTTCACCCCCGGATGTGACAATAGACAATGAGTCTCTAGCGAAGGGTCATATTTACCCGTTTGGAACCCCCTTATTTGGGCAGCAGCGACACCGGGCCCGGCTCCGTCTAGGTGCTGCTGCGCAACGTCAACCCTTTCCCCCTCTAGCACACCTGTCCCCCCTTAATTGACATAAAATAACAAACCCTCCCCCGTTGTGACTGTTGTGGGCAATTAGTCACCAATGAGACGCACATCCCATAAACAAAGCCCGGCCTCGATTCGTGGCCCTTTTAATGGGCCATATTCTCACGGCGGGAGTCAGCTCGGGGACTGATAAGGGCCAACGGTAGCTCTAGCGTCTTATCTTTGGCAAATACGCCTTCAGGCCCCGGGGTCATCCCCTAGGTGGTTGTTTTTCACTTAAAGTAGCCAGGAAGGCTGAAAATCGACCTGTTTCTGGTGACTAGATATCGACAGTTACGTGTCACTCATAAACGATTCTTGTAAAAAATTTGAAACGCAAATGCCCAAATTTCGAGAAGAGAAATGCCGATGTTTTTAGCGGCTTTAGAAAACTGTCATTCGGAAAGTCACGTAGCTAAGAACCGCTAGGATCTAGGCACCACCTTAAAACACTCCGAATTTACACATCCCAAAGGGGATTTTGCATCCCAGTAGTTTTCGAGACCCAATAGAGGAGGAGGTAGATTCTACTTCTTCATAAGCAAATCACCCAAAAACCCCCTAGACGCCCTAGAGGCCGCTCCGATCAGCTAGGTGGTGACCGCCGGCCATAAACGGTGTGGAAGAAGGCCCTAACCCAGCAGGAGGCAGCCTATTATTAACCCCTACCGTCGGCATACTCTATTCAATGGAGAGAGAGAGAGATAGAGACAGAGAGGGAGAGAGAGCGAGAGAGAGACGCCCTCCATTAATAACCATAAACGGGCTGGAGATTGTGATCAACCTGCGGGGCGGCAGGGCTCTCATCTCAAAAACGAAGAATAGGAGACAGGGTCAAATCATTAGTCTTGGCGGCTCTTTTAGGTGTTGAATTTTGCGAGGCGGCTTTAGCTTCCCCATTACGCGATGAAACACGGTGATCGGGGGGAAAGGCGAAAATCGACAGCTACTTTGACTAGGTATCGACAGCTACGCTCGAGTTAAAATGACGTGCCTAATAAAGAGCTAATCTGTTTTTCTGCATACACCCCGATTTCCAAGCCGCTAACCAGTCCTCCCTCATTTGCATACCCATCCCCGCCCCTTTCTAAAAATCCTAGACAAAAAGCGTCTCCAGCTACCGGCCGGGGGCTTTCAGCCAGCCCCCCTCGAAAAAAGCGTTGGTGGCCCCGGGTGGTGCACGCCGACAATTTATGGGAATGGGATGGGTTGTGACACGGTCCCCTGCTCAACCCCTCTTTTCTCCCTCACAAATTTATGGCCAAATCAGGGTTGAATTGGCTGGCCGTGGCGTCGGGCCCAAATTATCCGCCTTCTTCAGCCGCCTCCGTTGCCCGGGGTTATTTTTTGAAAATGGCTCGCCAGGTTGGCTGTCGAAATTGGCCCCTACTACGGTGGGCCTAGCGATGGCACGCGCCGTTTTTTTTGATTGGGGCTAGTTAGGGAGGTAGGTCATCTTTGAGCACGAGACTTCTCAAACGGCCCCTGCATGGCCACCTGGTCGCAATGTATCGAGCTCGCTATCTCCCTCTCTCTCTCGCTCTCTCTCTCTCTCTCTCTCCCTCTC